TGATTCATCATGCATTGATGCGTCCAGGCGTCCCTATACTCAAGAAAGGTACCATCCTCGCCCTGCAATGCCTTGGCGCAGAATACCAATGCTGAGAAGGCCGCAAGGCGGGTATCCCCAGTTGCCAACCCCAAAGATGACCCCTGAAGATCCTGATTCTTCTTTGGTGCAAGTTATTTGTAGTAACAAGGGGGAGCTCTACTGTACCTCAGAGGCCTACAGGAGTAAATCCTTCGCATAGCCCTCCAGGTGGCAAGAAATAGGCGAGCTGCCCAGCCCACCCCCACAGTGCCTGAACCTCGGCGGTTGAGGCAATCAGAAACGCGGGTTCCGGTGTATTCCTGGTTCGGGTGCACCGGGGAGTTTTTGCGTGATTATTGCTTGGGGTCTCATGGACTGAGGCTGAGGACTGGGACTCCGGGGTTCTGATGTCGAAGCCCTCCTAGCCATGGCCAGCAGCCTTACGATAGGCTTGGTGGTGTTATTCATGGCTGATGCGCTTGACAGATTGGGCAAGCGTATTGTCCACATCTACCAAATGCTCGGCCACAAGAACTGACTGAAGGAAGAGGCTCGATTTCAACCAAGAAGCCCTCAGTAATCGTCAGCTTCCTCACAGACAGGCATTGCGTGGCATTGCCAAGGACAGTGCTTTGACAAAGAGCCACCATGACATGGCAAAAAGGCACAAATCAGAAACTAAACAAGTACTGCTCAGAACTTGAGTAACTTCATTGGTGCTACGTTGTATCCAGCCAAGTATCAACTCCGTTCCCGGATTGAAGAAGCCAAGGGAGACCTGGCTGAAGTGAACCCTAGGAAGCCTGCATCTTCGTGTCGAAAGGTTCCTCTGACTGCACGATGGATGACTCAACTGGGTTGCTACTAAGGAACTTATGTTACTGTAATAAGGAAACCTGTTAGTTGTTATATACCCATACTAGTAATCATGGCAATCTCATTCAAATTCCTGAACGACAACCCCGGCAAGTCTTTGCATCGCTGTCGCGTCTATCGCTCGCATATGGCCACAAAAAGTGCTTCCAGCATAGCAACTGTGCAACAAAACTTGGGGTTCCCGCCTCCTCTGGTCCTGCTGAACCCACAAGCCCTCCGGTTATGATTGTTGCGCCTCGGTGGCAATCAGTACATCCAAACGCCCCAGAAAACGCTGGATAGTAAAACGCAAGGAACGTCACACCATTCACATGTTAGAGTTGAAACTGTGATGCTGAAAGAGAAGATGAGCAGAATGTTGATCACTGGGGATGATCACCAATATCCTCCACCACCACCAACAACAACATCATAATCTAAACCATTATTACCTATTACCGTGTCCAGGGAGGAATAGTAGCGACAATAAGCAGCTGTACGGGCCAAATGGTGACCAAATCTTGACAGCAAGCATGGCTATCAGGTCTGGGGGAATTGGAGAGGAATCACAACCAAGCGGCTAAAACCACACCATCCAAACCTGCCTGAGCCTAATTTTGCCGCCTGCAGGTTTGTATTCAACGTCCCTGCAGCTGCTTGTCATGATCAAGGCCCGGGCGGTGCATGTCTGTTAGTCAGACAAGGCTCCTAGTGCGTCCGTGACCTCGAAAGTGCCGCCATACCAACCTAAGTCTCACAGTGTCCCTAGTGGCTGGCAACACTGTAGCTGCCATTCGCCTGCTGAACCTCTTGCCTGGCAGGGGTGAGGTTTCTGAGAAGGATACTGACCGCACCTAAGCACATGGGCAAAACAAATCAATCTGGTCAAGGCTCCATTGGACGCGTCACCCGTCATGACCATCATTATCTCTGTAGTGTTGGCGTCTTAGATGCATGAAGCGTGAACATCATTGAGAATGCAGCACGCCTTTTCAGCGATTCGCTTGTGTCCACGCATTTTTGAAGCATCTTCCCAGCCAGTCGTTCAGCCCTGTGGGGACGATCTACTGCAACATTACAACACCAGGGCGGCTGAGCTCAACTGGCAAAAATGCAGAAAGCCACGTCGACAGCAAGTAATGCCATCCAGGGTCCTGAGGTGACGTTCCAAACCTGGTAGCTTGCACCATTCCATCCATCTCCCCCCGAGTCGAGCAGTACAAACTGGAGAGACCTAAGCTGCGCCGAATGCTCCTCCAATCTTCACCCAGAGCCAAAACACCTGCAGGAGTGCTTCAGGTGATGGTGGGAGAACACGAGGTCGGACAAGCACTCACAGCTTTGTGAATAGGTTGCGTGGAAAAGCAGCATTGCAGCAAATGCATGCTCACAAAGCGGGGAAATTCTGCACAAAGCCCAGCTGAACGACACCATATTGTAATGTGCAAGCAAACATCATTGTGCCAAACACCCTTTGTTTGCAGCTCACGTGACGTCCATGGTCGGACTGCCTCACAGAAGCAGGCAAAAGGAAAAGATCCAAATTTGTCCACAAATGGCCCCGACTGCAAATGCAACGGAATGCATGCCTACACAGCCTTGCACTTTTTTACAGTACCGCATCTGCGGAAGAGCGGCTGCCTGCACATGAATCGAACAGGAGCACCTCAGATTACGCACGGTCTTGCTTCGAGCTCGTGATATCAGGCTTCCGCTTATGACCTGTCCGTTGCAAGCAATATGAATCCAGAAGATAAAGCCAAACAGGGATTATGGCCATAACTGTTCAAGATGACGACTGCCTGAGGGAACCTTGTCCCTCGACTGTCGACAGCTCAACCATACCGGACAGTTGAATTTCTGCTTCAACAGCTAAGTGCTGAGGAGGCTGCAAAATGCCAAGCAGCTGCAACTGTAGCATGGCGTACAATGCTTGGCACGAGACGATACCATGATGGTGCTGTTCTTGCCTGCCCCTCATCACACCGTGTGAAAGAGATATATGATTGCCGTTGCTGCCTTTCATGAAGGTCCTAAGCTATAGACTGACATACATGCACGCATTACATGACATGCCAAATCGCATGCAACGTTTCAACTGTAAATGGCTCCGGTGAAGCTCAATCCGCTGGTAAAGGAGCCTGTTTGGAGGGTGAAGCGGCATCAGTCATTAAGTTCATATTTGGGATGCTATTCAACTACTAATTGAGTTGAAAGCATGTGTAATATGGGGATACGATCGAATTACTAGAAGGGTATAACTCGGTATAACGGTAACACAGGTCCAGGGTGCCTCAAAGCCACGTCTTTTCGCTTCAAAGTGGCAAGCAAACTCAGAGGTCGGCATCGGCGGGCGCTGGCACCTACATGGCGAACAGGTCGTAACCTTAACCCATAGTGTCTAACATGCCCCCCAAACGTGGTATCAGGGAAGGAAGGGATAAGTCAAGATCTAGTCTAGTTAGGCATCTTCGCTTGCGAGAACATATGTCCTAAATCTCCAGGTTAGTACTTTACAGCCATCATGGGGTTAGAATCCCCAAGAATCAAAGAACGTTTCCCCTCGTTAGTTTTCTTGCCAAATGCTCTTCGATTTGTGTCCAACCCTTCCAAAAAGTACCAACCTTTGCTAAACCCTATACAATATACATACGGTGGATACTAAACATCCTGCATGACCCTAGTCCCTTATACCCTGGGATCTATGAGTTTAAACTAAAGTTTAGTATATCCAGAGCAGGCTTTTTGATATCAACTGTACGGATGATGTAGGAAGTCGTCCACCGTCTATGCAACTCTTACAGGACTTGTAGGGGGTGTTGGGGGGGTGCAGCAGTTCCTTCATCCATAGTGGCCTACACCCGAAACCCTAAACTCTAAACCCTACACCCTAAACCCTAAACTCAAAACCCCAAACTCTGAACCCTAAACTTTAAGCCCGAGATTCTACACCCTAAACTCCAGATCTATCCCCATACTCTATACCACAACGCGTTCAACAGAACTATAGTCCCCCTTCAGTAGATAGAATATGGCTTTGCATACATTAGACTACTGTAAGATCCCCATATACCCCATATTCTACCTTCTTAAAGGGGACTATAACTACATGCCCCGACATGAAGAACCAACTCCCCGGCACCCGCTTCGCCCAGGCAAGCAGGATGCCAGCACGCCGCGCCTGGCCAGATGGGTGCTTGGGGAGTCAGGACCCTACTACGGTCACCAGGACAGTTACAGGGCGCCCGGCAGGGGCCGCGGCACCCAAAATCCCTGCGGCGGCCCCGAGGACCCAGGGCCCCACGCCCCAGCGCCAACGCCCAAACCGCCAAATCCGACACACCCAAACCCGAAACCCCAAACCCTAAACCAAACCTCGGGGGGTTTGGAGTTTGAGGTGTATTGTTTTGGCTACATGCTTTGTCTCTGGGTCTTCAGGATGATCTATCTTCCTTACGGCCTGGCCTTAGGGTTTAGCTTGTTTTAGGTTCGGGCCTAAATGGTTACCCGGCATGTCCTGGGATATATGGATTTGAGATACAAACGGTCTTGGAGAATCACGTCGAAAAAAGACGGAACATGAGATGGAAACTAGGTTAAAGATTGGCTTCTAGGGATATCATGTACCATGAGTCCTTGACCCAGCGGTTGCTTTCAGGGGTTGGGTAAAAGAGAATACCCTCACTAAAAACCCTGCACCCCAGGCCGGTCCGCAACCATAAATCCTGAACCGTGAACCCGGAAGCGTAAACCCTAACAACCTAAAGCCTAAACCCTAAACCCAAAATCCTAAACACCTAAAGCCTAAAACCCTGAATTCGAAACACCAAAGCCCAAACCCTAAACCCAAAATCCTAAACCCTAAACACCTAGAGCCTGAAACCCTGACCTCTGAACCGAAAAGCCCTAAACCCTAAACTCTGAACATCTTAACCCTAAACACTTAGAGGGTCAAACTATGAACCCCAACCTCTCGCTTGAGCTCTTCGCCCTGAGGCTCCTTCAGCCAACGGTCTTGCGCCTGCTGGGACGGTTTCAGGGTTTGGCGGTTTAGAGGTTAGGGGTTTAGAGGTTGCTGACGGTCTCAGGCTTTGGTGGGATGCATGAAGCACGAGGTCTCAGACCTCTGTCGGCTTCTCAGCGGACGTGGCCGCAGAGCCGGTCAGGAGCGTTGGGCCCTCGGGCTTGAAGCGCTGGGAGTGCTCGCCGAAGCTGTTGGGCTTCCCTAGGAGGAGAGACAATGCACACAGCGATGTCCGTATTCTTTTCATTGATGCATATCTCTTGGAAAATTCTACGACGCACTAGTGACAAACACAACGGAGTGGACATAATCAAGCTGAAACTCAATGTACCAATGGACATAATCAAGCTGAAACTCAATGTACCAGCTACAGCTCCCGGCACGCTTCTTTCTAGCAGGCCAGAATGAGTTGCTGGAGCTTGCGTTGCAGGTCTCGGGATGTAGTCGATCGCATTAGAGCCCAGATCTGCTGTTCTGCTTCTGCAAAGTTTCTCTTGGGATCATCATCAGATCGCCAAAGGAGCATCAAGTCGTCGACGATGAACAACCATTCTGAAGAAAATTCAGGCAAGAATAGAAGCCTTACCAGAAGGGACACCCACGTCTGACGCTGAGGCCTTCCCAGCGAGCGTAGGACGTTTTCCAGTGGTGCACAGCACAAGCATACCAAATGCACAGTGTCTTCGCTGATCTCAGCGGATGCCAACAGGTCTTCAATCAGATCCTGCATGGCTTCTGCAATCAGTTTCTGCACCCACGGAAGCGCACCTTGCCCGTAGTTGAAGACAATGCTGTGAGCATCTCTGCAGAAGCTCATGTCAGTGTGAGAACAGTGCTGCAGCAGACTGCGCAAGTTGTCTTCCACGATGCGTTGCACATGTTGCTCTGCAAAATGCGTTGTTCTAGCGCTTGCCATCACCATGCACCACCACCTACCTCAACTTCAACAATCAGAATGTTGAATGAGCACGAAAGGAACAGAATACCTAAGCCAAGCTATGGACAAGGCTAAATGCATCAAGAGGCAGTCGAAGAGTTTCTGGCGTTCAGCATCACCGTCAAATGCTTGGGCCCTTGTGCTGATTTGAGGCTCTTCGACGAACTGCGTTATGGAATTTGCAAATTCCAATATCGATGCGGGCCTGCGCGGCATGGTATGCGTTATCCGCATGATGAGCCGAGAGCATGCCAGTCAGAATGCCTGTCCAATCTGCCGAGCTCTGCCACATGGTGTATCAAGGCCTCGGATGCAAATCAGCGGAAGTCTTCAAGATCTTGGGTGGTGAGCTAACGAATGTGCTCTCTTTGCTGACGACCAGCCTGGGGTTCCTTGGTCTGTCGAGATATCAGGCGCCACTTCAAAATCTCATCCACCTGTCTGGCACAAAATCCTCCGTCAGGCTTGCATGACATCATCAGCTGCTCAAGACAAGGCGCCGAGAGATATTGCAGCAGGCCGGGCCTTAGGATTGGTAGACAAGCCGACCTTTCAACAGCCTGTGGTCAGTTCATCAACAATCCGAAGCGCATCAGCAGCTTGTCTGGATCCCACTCGATGCTGCCAACCTCGGGAGGAATGCAAACGCAACAAGGATGGCTTGTGGTTCAGGCCTCGTGACTGATTTTATGGCTGGGGGGCATGCCTGCCCCGAGCTCTGAGGCAATGAGGTCGGAAAGCCAAATTGATCCTTCTCGACTTCGTCCTGTTCAGCGCACGGCATGCACGACCAGGGACCGCTTTGACAACAGAAGCTCCAGTACTGACCATCAGTCTGGCAAGCCTTCTCCACGTTCTCTTGATGATCGGTGGGATGAAATGCGTCCTGTGACCCTTCAGACCTTGCCAGCTGGCAGCTTGACAAGCGTCGAACTGTCAACGAGAAAACAGCCCAAAAGAAATAGTGAAGACAGGTCGCCTTGTCCTGGACGTAGAGACCGCGTGGCCCTCCTAGTTGGGGAGCACTTTGCAGCATATGCAAACCCAAAATGCCAGAAAGCCACGCTTGCTCTTAAACGTCCAGCCGAGGCACTTCTCTCTCCGTGTCCCGCGTCTGGCGTTCCCTTGGTCAGTTGAGATTCAGGCTTCCAGCTGTTTCCGCTGCTCTCTAGTATGCAGCAAACCCAAATCTGCAAGTTTCTGATGCCGGAGGTGTCAGTGATGATGTTTCATGCGACATCGAATTCTCTGCTACTGGTTGTGTACGTTTCTGCTTCGAGGACAACTACAAACAAGGGGAAACTGACCTGCGCTGGGATGGCCATGGTTGGCCGTCAGCTTTGGACAGCACAGCGTTCTGCTTGTCATGTTGCTCGAAACATCTAAGGCTGACGAGATCTGGATATACCAGGGATACATCGGTGACCGCTTTGGCATATAGCCACTGCGCAGCTGTTAACTGTTAACTCTTGCCAGCTGGGAACTTTCCAAGGATGCCCACATGAAAGGACAGCCATGCACGGCAAAAGAGAATAATGGGGATTGAGAACCTGATGGCGTGTGGCAGCTTGCACAAGCCCTGCAGCCTTACATCCTTATGGCAAAGAACATGAAGTGTCAACAGTTCTCATGGGAAAGTTAAAGCCGCAAGCATCTCATGCGACCGCCATCAACATTCTGCAACATTCCGCTTTCTGACGTTTGCAAAACAAATGCCTTGTGATTTTTCCTTTCAGAAAAATGTTTCACCTCGACTGTGGCTCACTGCGCATCCTGAGCCTCGGGCTGATCGTGTCGTGGCTGTGTGAAAGGCTGGGCAGGAAGCTCGTCCCTGCTGCGGTTTGACGCCGACTGCCTTGCAGCAGCAAACAGATATTCCACTCTTGCAGGCAAGCTTGACTCTCATTTTTGCCAGTAAAAAAAGACGGTCCACCAAGGGAGCCCTAATACTGCAGACCATGCGGCGTTGTCGCGTCCCGGTGCAACGAGCCCACAATGTCATCTTCAACTAGGAATGCCTGGCATTCATGCCAGGACCTTGGCACTGAGGGAAGAAGAAGCTCATCCTTGCAATTGGCCTGCAAAAAGCCTTCATGCTGCCTGCTACCCTCACTCCAAAATGCTGATGCTGCTTGAAGACTCCTCCCCTGGCTCATCGTCTGAACACTCCTGCCAGTAAGTAAGAAACATGCTGATTCACACTGTAGGCCGCAGAAGTCGGCTTCCGTGCTCCAAAGGGCCTTGCTGTCACGAGTTTGTGTGCCCGCGTCTGAAATGCCAGATTCTCGCTGATTCCTGGTACGATTTCACATCCGTCCACTGCAACAGATACATCACATTACGCAACCACGGGAACTTGAAGCTGAAGCGCAGCCGAAAGTTCGAAACGGCCGCATGGTTGCTAGTTGCAGCCGGCGGCGCCGGCCTCCAGAAACTCACACAAAAGAGATCACGGGAATTCTGATTTCAAACAGCCACGTTGTCGCATGGGAGCCCGGACGCTTGCGGCACAAGACCTCATGAGCATTTGCCTGGAGCGCCCAGGTAACGGTTCCTGCCCCATAGCAGGCGGAAACCTCAGTTGAAGCAACACGGTCATGTCGGGCCCCAACCCCCCTTGCCACACTAACGCATTCCCGGCTGCTGACCGTTGTGGCTCACATCCCGGTTCTCCGCTAGCTGAAGTGCACCTCGCCACAATGTTTCGTGCATGACCCCTTGACAACATAATATCACGGCGTCCTGGCCTTCGGCTTTGTCAAACTGCGCTGCAAGCTCAGGACAGAAATGCGAGAGGAACAGGATCTGCGCAGATTGCCCCACCTGCCTACGCAATGGAGACAGGCCCAAATGATCGAAACCGATGTAACTGTGTTGCAAAGGAACGTCCAGCCCTCCAGTTTGTGCTCGACCCAAGCAGCAGTTGCTCGACCATGGCAGGAGTGCCGTGACATCGGGGCGTTGGTTCGTGAAAATGTCCCGTACACCCTGCCGTCGCAACGATGACAACTGGGACGGACTTCGTAACAGCACTCCTCAAATTTTACTGATCCCAGTGTATGTTCTGCTGCATGATTTACAAAGTTGCTTTTATCGGATTGTAAAGATGTTTGCTATCGGCTTCTTGTTTATCAAGCAGACTGCATGCTCCCCGCTTCAATGGCGATGGTGGCTCCCATACCACTGACAGCAGTGTTGGAACTGAAATTGCTGCCTCGTTCAAGCTGGATGAGCTTAAGAAAATGAGGAAACATCAATGTAGATGTCGAACGAGGAATTATCGGAAAGCAAGACCACAAAGAATCCCAAAAACATGCTCTCGATTGCTGAACCGTTTGTTCAATCTTCGGCTGCAACCCCTTTTTCGTGTGCGAATGATTTTGGGGGTTCATGGAAACTAAACCATCTGAGCTGGTGACGAATTTTCCATGAAACTGGAAAATTCAGAATACACAAGGTCCAGAACCCAGCATGATTAATTTAACTCATGGAAGAATACTGCGTGCATTGTCTCTCGTCCTACAACCTCATGGTCCTTTCTCCTTGCAGACTACTTGCGTTTTGGTCTTACATGTCGTGCCTTGAAGTCCACCTAGCAGGCTCCTCAAATGATACAACGATGCATGCGAAAATCTGGATATATTAGACCTGTCTCCAGCTGCCATTCGCGCTAAGTCCAAAATCGCACAAAGTACATTTTGGCAAGGTGGAAAACCAAGCACTCTGAGGTTTCATGCCCAATCAGGAAAAGGGGATGCTGCGATCCACCAGCTCAAGTTGCAGTTAATTGTCTATGTAGCATAGCCTCGAAGTTCTGTGGGCTTGCACTGCTCCTAGCCTCAATGCTTACCACTACAAGAAGCAAAAGGCTCGACTCCTTTTTCTCTGGGTTGCTTTGAGCGTTGTGCAAAAGAGGGCTTGAAAGGCTCAGCGCTTCAAGCCCAACTCTCCTTCCATTCTACCCCCTTGTGAGAAATAACCAGAAAACTCTGGGCTGAACGTAGTGTCCAGGCTATGTGAAACTCAGTGGAGGAACCACACTCAGCTTGTGTGGGCTAACCTGAGCTGGTTAGGCTTTGAGCACTTACCACTACAAGAAGCAAAAGGCTCGACTCCTT